GATAGATAGATAGATAGATATACATTACTACGAATGTTGAGATCACCCTAACTAGAAGGAACGTCTCTATTTGTAAAACGGTTAAGACCATCCTAACTAAAAGGGGTGTCTTTATATGTGTATATATATTTATATACATATAATCAGGGTTATCGACGTTCGTGACGGGCCGAACGCCCGAACGTACGGGACCCCTTCGGAAGGCGTTCGGCCGTTCGGGCCGAACGCGGACCAAAAAAAAAAAAAAAAAAAATCAAAACATTTCAAAAAAAAAAACAATATTATGTAGAAAACTAAACTAAATAATATTTGTTTGGGCACTACATCCAAATTCTTTACCAAATTTGAATTAAAAATCAAATACAGAAAATAAACACTATGATAAAAATAAAAAAAAATAAAAAGAGAATTAAAATGAGTGAGTGTGCCAGCACCTTTTCGACACCGCCATCTTTGCCGATTTTTATTTTTTGGCATTGACAAATGCCCTTAAAATTTACAGATATCTTGTTTACATAATCAATAACTCATCAATTGTTTTTAAAAAAATAATAAAATAGTTCAGGCCCCGAAATAAAGTGAAAACAAAAAGTTAAAAGTGAAAAAAAAAACAAAATAGTGAGTGGGCGAGCACGTTTTGACACCCCCATCTTTGACAATTTGTAATGTTTTTTGGCTGAGCATAATGGCTTCAAAATTTATAGGCGTGTAGGTTACATCATTGAGAACTCACAAAAAATCATTCAGAAAAAAAAATTATTTTTAGGCCCCGAAATTCTTTTGGCGGGGGCCGAACCTGAAGGTGTTCGGCCCGCGAACGGGACCCCGAACGCTCGAACGTTCGGGGCCAGCCCGAGAGCCCCCGAACGTTCGGTCAGGTAACCCTGCATATAATTGTGGAAATGTTGAGACCATCCTAACAAGAAGGGACGTATCTATGTGTATATGCATACTTATGTACATATAATTATAAAAATATGGAGATTATCCTAACTAGAAGGAACTAGAAGAGAAAATCATCATAACGAGAAGAGACGTCTTTATGTGTATATTTATGTACATATAATTGTGAAAATTTTGAGATCATCCTAGCTAGAAGGGACGTGTCATATTTATATATATGAGCGGCGAAACTTTTTCTTCAGGGCAGGTCGTGGTCAAATTGAAAATATATTTTTTTTTTTGGATTTTTTTTATCTCAATATAGTTTCAGAAGTTCGTCAGGTGCTAAAGCTATGAGCGTAAGTTGGTGTAGGGCGTCATATGGACATAAACGGTTAACGAGTAGCTGAAAATTCGGTAATGAAAATTTTGAAGTGAAAAATTTACGTTTATTTATCTGCCCCGAATTCAGAGTGAGAAGAATGTTCTTCATGGTGACCGATATGCACCCGCATTTGATTTACCATGAATTCGGGATTTTCAGATTGTCTAAACAAGTTATTTTCAGGGTACTTATACCTTTCCCCGCTTCAAGATGGTTCGAGATTTTCAGACTGCCTCAACAAGTTGCTTTCGGGGTGTTCAAACTTCTTCACCACTTCAAGATGATTCAGGATTTTCATATTATTTGCCTTGACAACTATTTGGGCAATTTGTAAATTCCGAACAATCATGAAGTGGTGAAGAGTCTGAACATCCGAAAAATAATTTGCTTAGGTAGCATGAAATTCATGAACGATCCTAAAGTGGTGAAGGGTCTGAAACACTTTGAAAACAACCTATCTTGATAATTGTTCAGGCGTTTAAGAATCCCGAACAATCCTGAAGTGATGAAGAGTGTGAATTCCCTAAGAGCAACCTGTTTAGGCAGTCTGAAAATCATGAACCATCCTGAAGTGGTAAAGGGTCTGAACACCTTAAAAATCGTGAACAATCATGAAGTGGTGAAGAATCTTAACACCCTGAAAAAAATCTATGTTAGCAACAGTTTAGGCAGTCTGAAAATATCGAACGGTCCTAAAGTGGTGAAGGATCTGAATACCCTGAAAACCACCTATTTAGGCAGGATGAAAATCGCGAATAATCTTGAAGTGGTAAAGAGTCTGAACACCACGAAAACAATATATCTTGGCAATTTTTTAAGCAATATTAAACCTCTGAACGGTCCCGAAGTGGTTAATGGTAAAATTACGTACAATGAAAAATATATATATATTGTTCACCCTCTCTCCATGAGGAAGGAGTTAGTTAAAGTTTGGGTGCAGATTATGACGAATAAAAATTAGAAAACGTTCACTTTCCTGGAGAAAGTATTGTCGAAATTTTCACTAATCCCGACACAACAAAATCCCCAAAGATAATGCGACAGAAAAAATCAAGAAGAGAAACCTCTTTTGGGAGATATTGTTCGTATTTCATGATTTCTTTTTACCAGTCGATGAAGAGTGGGAATACAGCTGGAAGGTATGAGGCTAGCCTTTGTTGGTCGTAAGTGTTACAACGAGTATTGTCATGTGTTTGTAAGGCAGGTCATGATCATCAATGAGATGTTTGCAAAGCACCCCGAGCAAGTCATCGCGGGTCATCATGACAATTGTCTTTGGATAATTGGTCGGTTTTCCGACTCAACCTTCACTTACCTTTGTCACTCACACCATGCGTTTGACCCTATACAAAAGACATATTTGTTTTCGGGTCCCTTGTTTGAAAAATCGATATTGGTTTGAAGGGTCCTTGAATACTAAATCAAGTCAAGACAAGGTGAGTAAAGAAAAATTGGTGTCTGAATGTAAAAGGTTATGCGGTGTGAATAACAACGGAAAATGGATAAAAGGTTGACCTCGTTAGGGTGTTTAATGTATCTTTGTTGTCAATACAAGTGAGGGAGGAATTGTCGATCGACCAACCTACTGAAGTGACTTTTGTTTGAGAGAAACAGGGAAGTATTTGGGATATTAATCTTGACAATCTTGAGAGATGTGGTCACATGAATATTTGATGATTGTCCGTTAGTTCAAAGCCTATATGTTATAGGTTTTATAAGTTTAAACGTTATTTTCGTTTTTTTTTTATATACGAGAAGGACCATAACATTTTATTGTGGGGATTATTGACTTTCTACCTTCATCATTGTGTATCTATGGTTTCAACAAGACTTGCATGTGTCGAGAGGCAACGTCAAGTCAACCACCTTTAGTTTTGGGGTCAGAGTCAGAGTTATAGAGAATGTGGTTTATGGTTTTGCATTACATTATTTGTAAGTTTGATGAAACTTGATTCGTTTATTGACTTACAGAATATGCCAAAAATAAGCATTTTTGGTATTATTGTCCTCCACGTAATTGTTTTAAAAGGCAATGAACGAAAAGAGACTATAATAAGTCGAAAAAAAAATTGACCGCCCTTTGTGCTACGTCGCAACCATTTTAATCGACTGGCATCAAGCCATGTACGGGGATCAATGCCCCGACTAACGACTCGCGTACGGGCCTGATACGGCGTATGACCGCGCGTACTCCGTATGCTACAATGAACAAGAAACGTCCTCGACCGGTTCACCTCTGACTCAACATTGCTGGTCACCCTATGTTGGTCGATAGCTCTGCGGGGATACTACACCTCCCTAAGGGGGGTAACAACTCCCTAGGGTTGCGGAAAGTTGTACTTCGTGGCGCCCTGACTTGTCATAGGGTAGCCGCTAGAATTGCGTCCAGTGTACCGGCCGGAGCGGTCTTCCGAAGGAGGATGCTTCAAGATGCTACCAACTCCTACGTGACATGGCCAGGAGGGGTCCCCAACCACGTTACCGTGGGGCGAGACCCGTATGCTCGACACCGGGATCCCTCAACTCCGGGGATCACTGAATTATCATTGGATCTTAGCTTTTTGGAAGGCGTTTCTTGAATGAGAATCTATTAGGAGATATTCAGTGACAGTGAGGTGAAGGGGGTTTCATAGCATATTTCTCCTTAATTACTTTTTTTCTTCTTTTTGGATTTGTCTATCATCGGTCCGACTTTCGCATTAAACAACAAATTCGTGACTTTAGTTGTATTCATTGCCACGTTTTTTTTCCGCTGGAAAGTGGATCCGTCCTCCAAGGAGGTATATTTTTTTTTTAGTGGGAAAAAATATAAGGGTGGTGGCAAGTCATGTTATTGATCTACTTCTGACACGAACCCCAACTGAGTATTTTCGATTTTTTTTTTTAGATTTTCGAAAAGAGGGGAGGGAGAGAGGGGGCACGCGGGGGGGGGGAACCACATTCGGCTGTGTGTCCTGGTTCTCCTGCCCATAAAATACATTCGTGGTTTTGACCTCCTCCCGTCCTGTTCTCTCAGCTATAGTCGTTCCTCCCTCCCGTTCTTCTCCTATTTCATTAACCAATGCTGTTTTTTTTGTCTTGGAGGAATCTCCCTTTGGAAAGGAGAGAGGTTTTTCCTTCCCTTGTTTCTGTGTGTTTTTTTCTTCCTCCATGAGGTACAAGATTTCTCCTCCTGATCTTGCAAGGTTTATCCATCCTCACGTTCGGGTGAGCTATCTTTCCATTTTCTTTGTTCCTCACACGTGGATCATTCAAACTTAGAGACAGGGGGGCAAGAGCAATCATCTTTTATCTCTTTGCTCTGTGTCCAGACATTTTTTATCGTCTGTCTGATCTTTCTCACTAACTGCTTCCTTAAAGTTTTTCCTTCAAACCGAATAACTCGATCTAAACTGATAATTTTTATCATATTCCAATGAGAGAAGGTTAACAACAGTCGTATTTTTCATCACCACTTCAGGACACCCTTCACCACTTTAGGATGCAGTCTGCCTAAACAAGTGGTTTTCAGGGTCGTCGAACCTTTCACCACTTCAGGATGCTACCTGCCTAAACATGTGGTTTTCAGGGTCTTCGGATCTTTCACCACTTCAGGACTATTCGGGATTTTCAGACTGCCCAAAACTTTCACTTCGCCACTTCAGGATGCAGCCTGCCTAAACAGGTGGTTTTTAGGGTCTTCGGACCTTTCACCACTTCAGGACCATTCAAAATTTTCATACTGCCCAAAAATCTCACTTTATAATTTTCATTCTTGAATTTTCAACTACCCGTTAACCGCTTTTGATTCCGAGGGAAAATATGTGCGACACTTTCTACACCAGGGAGAATCAACGCATGCGACATTCAAATTTACCCACTCATATTCTTCTAAATCAGTAATCAAGTGTTGTTTATACCATACTGTGGTTGTTGGTTCTATATCAAAGCCGATACCACACCAATCAGACAAAATTGCACTTTTTAAATGTTGCTAAAGACTTTTTGGATACCTTTTGGGTACGGCATGACAAAAATTGAGATTTGGATAGCCTTGACCCAAAAGTAATGAAGTTTTTTGGCTTCGTTCCACTCAAAGAGTTTATTTTTCGTCATCCACGGTCGAAATTGAACGGAGTCTTTTTTCCCATTCATCTAGATGAGATATCGCACTTTTCCTTCTCATCCGCATGATGACCTCTCTAGTGCTAGTGATTTACGTGACGAAGTTTTCCCTTCACAACCAAAAACTCCTCTTCTCGACGCTATGTTGAGTTTCATAGAGTGCCCCCACCCTTCTTCGTAAATGCAGTTATGATGATTTTTCACAGAGGCAGAAAAAAAAGTTGAATAATTCTCAAACTGAATACACACTGCATGCGTCGACAACCATTCTGCCTAAACTTGGTAAAAATCCTTGTTGGCGACCATGCGAATGAAGTCATGTCCTATGTCTCAAATGCGCGTTAACATTCCTTTGGAAGAATGCCCTTCGATTAGCAGTCTGCAATAACCCCACAAAGTCATTTTTTATCTGCCGCCAATGTAGCGGACCCACCAGGTGTGGGGCTTCGCTAGTGACAGAGATGGAGATGGGGGAAGAAGGGGGGGAGCAAGATGGCACAATGCAGCTCCCCACGCAAGACTCCAACGCACGTACTCCAAAATGTGTCAGTGAGGAATGAGACTGAAAACAGACAATGGTTGGGGTATACCCCAACGGACTGACGGGACTGGAGTGGACTGGCTGGTACCGACAGAGGTACCGGCCTGGACTGGCCTACCCCGAATATAACACAGGCCTGTGAGAACAGGCCAAGGGGCTGGTCTCACAGGTGGCCTGGTTTCACAGGCCAACCCGAGGTCCGCTACACGATCCTCGGCCTGTGAAGGATTGCCTAGATAGAAACATGCTTCCGCCAAGAAGCGGAACTCTACCAAAGAAAAGAAAACCTGAGTAGTCTAGGATGCGGAGCAAGCTCCATGCTGAGTCCATGCGATGCAACCTAGGATATAAAATGTCACAGCTAACAGCCGAAGTGAAAGTAGAAGCAACTAACATACATGTCCTAGGAAAGCAAAAAGTAATGACAACTAGATCCTAGAATGTTGGAGGCACTGGCCTCAGTCTGGTAACAACTGACTAGTGTATAAGTCCTAAGAACAACAAAAGCAGAACAGCTAAATCCTAGAAACGTCGGAGGCAGTAGCCTCAGTCTGAGAGCAACAAAGCAATCAACAAGACAACCGTATCTCACATGAGAAGTGTGTCGCACACCAAAGGGTGGGATGGTCTCTGAGGGTGGTGAATGCAGCCTAGGGGTCGAAAACTCCTAAGGGCATCCACAC